AGCCCCGTTGACCATTTCGCGCTGGTCAAATTACTGTAAAAGTGCGCAAAGCCAGGACCCGCGCGCGGGATCCTGACACGCGCGTGTGGTCGTGCAGGGCCCGCGCGTGCGTCGTCACTGTTTTGATCGCACACAGTATGCACGATCGATACAGGACGGAGCGACATGATCTCGTCACGCGCGGGACAACGCACGATTGCGTCAGCGATCGTCTTGTCCTGCACGATCTCGGTCGTGATGAGGGGCATATGGGGCACGTGGGGCACTCGAGATTCTACTGTTGACTAACGGGATTTCACGCCGACTTGGCGTGCAGGAAAATTCACCAGAAAGTCGCGCTGCTTTGCGTCATTATTTCGACAGAGGTACAAAATGGTAAAGTCCGTTTGTAACCGAAGAAAACGGTAAACCCACACGAGTGCTCATGATTTATACACGAGCGATCATGGATGTTCATGAGGGGAGTCACCAGGGGAATTTGGCAGCAGTGCAGGTTGAAGACAGTTATTCTACAGGGACAAATCAAGCCAAATTCAAGAGCAGTTTAACAACCGTTTTCAATGGCAACAAGGCAAAGACATGGACGACAGTTAGACAGCTGCCTTGTGTGTTTCCTTTGTGTGCCTAGGACCTCTCATATGTGTATGCTTATTTGCTTATGATTAGCCAATGCTTTCATGATTTCAAGGATACATTCTACTACTACGTATTGACGAGAGTAGAAGTGCAGCATAGTACTGCCGAAACTATGCTCAACCAGAACACTCATTCTACAAACTAAGCTTGGCATAACTACTCACTTGGTTCACAAGTGATGTGAAGTGTTGCCTAGTTTATGTTTGTGGTACTGAGTTAATCGCTTCCGCATAGTACTTATTGTCAGAATGTTATCATTGTCTAGTCTGCAGTGGGGTACTCTATAGTGAGTACGACCCAAACTAGGGTTTGCTATATGTACTGCCCTGCTTACTAGTGAACCCCCTCCTTTGTTCATTTCTCTCTTGCCTAGCTAGCTAATCCCTATCTATGGCTCCTCACTGTGCTTACTCTTGTGACATGGTTTCAGAGCATTTACGCTTCTGGCCTATAGGCCCACCAACTGCTTCCGGTGTCGTTCTGTTTGCCGCGCGCCCCGTGGTACGCGACGTGTTATTTTCTTTCCGCCACGCGCTTGGAGCGCATGGCGGCTTTTTCTGCCCGTCGCGCGCTCGGGGCGCGTGGCGGTTTAACCGTCTGTCGAGGCACCTTCAGGGGGCCCGTGCGCTGCCCCCCGTCGCCCGTTGTGGTGTCTTCAAGGGGCCCGCCTGCTGCCCCCTTCCGTCACTCGTCGCGGCGCCCCGGAGGCCAGCGCGCCACCCCCTCCCGTCACCCGTCGTGGCGCTCTCGTGGGGGCCCATGCGCCGGCCCCTCCTGGCGCCTCGTCGCAGCGCCTTGGGGGCCCGCGCGTTCCCCCCTCTCGTTGCCTCGTCGTGGCACCTTGGGGGCCCACGCGTCGCCCCCTCCCATCGCCTCGTCGCGGCGCCTTGGGTGCCCGCGCGCCCCCCCCTCCCATCGCCTCGTCGCGGCGCCTTGGGGGCCCGTGCGCGGCCCCTCCCGTCGCCCGTTGAGCCGCCCTCGGGGGGCCGTGCGCGGCCCCCCTCCCATCACCAGCCGTGGCGCCCTCGGGGGGCCCGCGCCCTGCTCCTTCGTGGCGCCCATGAGACCCCCCCGCTTTCTCCCTTTCCCTCCGTGAACTGCCCCTGCTGCTTCCCGCGCTCCTATCTGCGTTAGGGTTTGGGGGTGGCGGGCATGGGGGTGAACGGTGTGGGTAACCTGCAGCTCCTCCTCCTCCTCCGTCTCCCACTGCTGCAGCTACCGCTGAGGGGGGTGGGTGTGTGGGAGCCGGGGGCTTAGGGTGTCAGAATGTTATTGTTCTCTAGCCTGCAGTGGGGTACTCTATAACGAGTACAACCCCTTAGGGTTTCCTATATGTATCCTGCTGCTTTCTAGTGAACCCCCTTCTTCATTCTAATCTTTCTTCTACTCCTAAATTTCACATGCTATCAGAGTAGGTCGATCCCCTTGGGTCGATTCTATGGGTGGGCTCACCACCTCACTGCTTCCGCTGCTACTGCTACTCTCTGTGTCGCACGCCCCGTGGCGTGCGACGGATTTTTCATCCCGCGGCGCGCTCGGAGCGTGCGGCAGTTTTCTGCCCGCCGTGCGCCCCAAGGCGCGCGGCGGTTTTCTGCCCGCCGTGCGCCCCGAGGCGCGCGGCGGTTTTCTGCCCGCCGTGCGCCCCGAGGCGCGCGGCGGGTTTCTGCCCCGTCACTCCGCGCGTCGCTCCCGCGAGGCGCTGCGTCGGGCGACGGGGACCAGCGCGTCGCCCCCCGTCGCCCGTCGTGGCCTGCGTGCGGCCCGTACAGCCTGCTCGTGGCCCGTACGGGCTGCGCCAGGCCAGCGCGCTGCCCGTACGGGCTGCGCCAGGCCCGCGCGCGGCACATATGGGCTGCGCCAGGCCCGCGCGCGGCCCGTACGGGCTGCGCCAGGCCCGCGCGTGGCACGTACGGGCTGCGCCAGGCCCGCGCGCGGCCTGTACGGGCTGCGCCAGGCCCGCGCGCGACTCGGGCCGCTTGCGCGCGGTTCGGGCGGCTGTGCCAGGCCCGTGGGCGGCCCGTTCTTCGCTGCCCCTGCGCTGCCCACTGTCCCCCGTGCTCCTGATGACGCCCCACCCCTGCTGCTGCCCGTTCTCCTCAATTAGGGTTTGGGGGTGGGGGGTATGGGGGTGCAGCTTCTGTGTGCCGTCCCCTGCTCCTCCTCCTCCTCCGTCTCCCAGTGCTGCAGCTGCCGCTGAGGGGGGTGGACTTGTTGGAGCCGTCGGAGTGGTACTAAGGGGGGTGAAGGGGGAGTGGAGCTAGGGGTGAAGCAGGGGGTGTGTGTCAGGGGGGGTGGGACTGTTTGGGGAGGTTGAACGGAGGTTGCCGTCGTGTTGCCAGCAACACCTGTAGTCCGGGGAGTTGCTCCGGTAGCCCAGTCGCAGCCACCTGTGCCAGTCGCCCGTGGGTCCGTTGCTCGTCTGCCGCTACTTTTAGTTGCGGGGCCAGTTACTCCAGTAGTCCGGAGCGCTGTTCCGGTAGCCGCTGTGCCAGTGTGCCTCCTGTTGCCCGTGTGTCTGCAGCTTCAGTCGTCGCCTCCTATCTCCTCTCCTCTTACAGTCTCGCCTCCTCCTCCTCACTTGCCCTCTGCGATAGCCTCTAGCTTTGCTTACATTTGTGAACTTTAAACTGTTGCTTCTTGAACTTGTGCTCAGAATGTGTGGTGACATTGTGATCCACCCTGAGCTTGTACTGCTTTGCTTGCTCTGCTGATTACACCGCACTTTGGCTATGGGGGTGTGTCAGAATGTTATTGTTCTCTAGCCTGCAGTGGGGTACTCTATAGCGAGTACAACCCCTTAAAGTTTCCTATATGTATCGTGCTGCTTTCTAGTGAACCCCCTTCTTCATTCTAAACTTCCTCTTACCTCGAATCTTCACATAGGGTTTAAGGGGGGTGACGTGGGAGTGGAGCTAGGGGTTCAGCAGGGGGTGTGTGAAAGGGGTGTGGGACAGTTGGGGGAAGTCGATCGGAGGCAACAGTCGTGTCGCCAGCAGCGCCAGTAGTCCGGAGGCTACAATCTCCGGTAGTCGCCAGTCGTCTATGGGTCAGTTGCTCCAGTTAGGAGGCTACAATCTCCGCGGAGCCAGTTACTCCTGTAATCCGGGCCATTGCTACAGTAGCCACTGACCCAGCCGCTCCTGTGTGTCTGCAGCTTCCACCATCGCCTCCCATCCCCTCTCCTCTCACAGTCACTCCACCTCACTTGCCCTCTGCGACTGCCTCTAGCTTTGCTTGTCCTTGTGAACCTGCTCTATGACTGCTTGCTGTGCTGATTATACCCCACTTTGACTATGGGGGTGTGTCAAAATGTTATCATTGTCTAGTCTGCAGTAGGGTACTCTATAGTGAGTACGACCCAAATTAGGGTTTGCTATATGTACTGCCCTGCTTACTAGTGAACCCCCTCCTTTGTTCATTTCTCTCTTGCCTAGCTAGCTAAACCCTAGCTATGGCTCCTCACTGTGCTTACTCTTGTGACACTTATAGTTAACAGTCGCATATGCGCCTATAATTAGTTCTTTTTTTCAGGCCGGCGCTTGTAATTGAGTAACGGCCATAAGCGCCTGCGCTTTTATAATGGCGAAAATGAATTTAGGTCTTCTATTGTTGACCACCATTTGGGATATAGAGGTTCTGAGCACGCCTTTAATACACACTAGTTAGTCCCCACGGGGTCACCTCCAAGGGTCTTTGGGTGCCTTGCAAAGTCAGTCCCTAACCAAGGGTACATGTTTGTTGAGGGACGCACTAAGTATAGATTCAATCACGTGAACTAGAATGCTCCCAAAATAGTTTGCGCAACGGTGACGACGAATTGGCTCGTAGCAGAAGAAGCTCTTTACGCCAATACGATGATAGAGCAATTTTCATTCACAAAGTGTTGATATAAAATGTTCGCCGAGTCAACGCGGGATTCGGTTTTTCAACCGAAATCCTGAGCACCCCTTGACCGTAATCATGCATGACTGATATTTTGGTGCATATCACTCTACTGGTAAGTACTTTTGACAATCTCATGAAGCCTCAGTGTATCTGAAAAAGAAAGGGAATGGAGAAAGAAAGGGAGAAGGAAAATGAAACTCCCAAAGAGAACCCAAATGCAACACACATAAACCCCCCCCTCAAGATACCCAATCAAAACGCCCAGTCAAGACACCCCATCAAGACATCCCATCCCACGCCCCATCCCCCCCCCCCCCCCCCCCCCCCAATCACATCAACGTATCAACCATGTACGGGGCCTCCACCCAGAGAGCCCCGCCTTCCGTATCGACATCGTCCCTCTCCCGATCCACCAAATCTACGTTAATCCCCCCCATGGAAGACGCCGCTCGAAGCAGGATGACACGGGCTTGCGCACGCTATAACGCCACCCCATCGAGCGCCTTCAGTGACCCTAAAAGATAAGCCGAAAACACAGAGTCGTCCTCTCGACAAGCCCCCCGCGACACAGTTAGCCCCACGTGCGCATCCCCCTGCTGACGAAGCCACCGCTGAAAACGACCGCCGAGACACCCCCACGTCTCAACTATCAAAGGGGTGAACTGCACGCCCCGATTGCGTGCAAGCAGAGGTGCGTAATCACTCGTTTTGCGACGCTCCCATTCCCTTACCGCCACACCTATTTGACGCCCGCGCTGTCCCAGCAGTGATGGAGACAGCGATAGCGGGTCCGCGACGCTGATCTCTAGGGCGTGAGCCTCTCCAGCCATTGGACGTCGCACCGCCACATCAACCCGCTTCCCTTGCAGCACCACACTATCCTCCAATGTCACCACCCCCCCCGACGCCTTAGAGATCTTCGCCACCACAAACTTCACCTCATCATGCACCCGAGAAGGACCATGCTGGTGCCTGCATCTCAGGGCATGGTGCAGGTCTGCTGGGTCAACATACGCTGTGCCACAAACACACCTCCCCGCCACCTGCAGCTGCTGAATTGGGAGGCCGAGCCGTATAGCAGCAGCAATGCCCCACTCAGCCGCAGTGAATGTAAGATCTGAGTGAGCCGGAACCGCCAAAACCCATGCACCTGCCCCCGGGCCCTGAAGGGATGTGAAACGGGCCAAGGTAGCATCGTCACGAGCCAAGCGACGCAGTGCTTGGAGCTCCTCTACAGCTAACTGCCGCTGACTCGCCTGGAAAAGCCGAACAGGAGGGGCCACTACACACAGAGGTAAGCCCGGTATCTCATGGCGGATAGTCGCTGGCAGCTGCTCGAGAGCCTTGACAAACCACGGGTCAAGAAACTCTGCCCCTGTCGAAGTGGTGAGGTACTCAGCAAACATCGCCTCCTCGCCCGCCACCCCTAACTGTGCAATGTTCCGCGCTGCCTGCGCCCACTCGCAAACATAGGACAGTGGGCTCAAAGAGGCCGCCGCCCGGATCCCGAACCCACCGAGACGCACAGGGAGATGCAGGCGGGAAAAGCTGCTCAAAGCAATCCCCTAAACAGCTGTCCCAATCCCTAAAAGCCTCAACCACCTCCGGACGCGGCGGCATAGTCCGGGCGAGGTACATCGGCCGCGCTGAAACTGCAATGGCGAGGAGGTGTGAAGCCGTCTGGGGGTGGTCGAGCAAGGGGAGCCATGGCAATGGCGCCTGCAGCTGTCGAAGCCGCTCCCGTAGCCGGACCACTCCCAAACCTCCTCTCCAATAGGCACGCCCACCACAGTAAGACCCTCATCCACCCGCTGCATCCCCAATGGCAGTGCCCGCTCCACCCCCTTGCCCTCGCGCTCCCAAAAACGGCACTTGTGCGCCTGCACCTCCAGCCCCACCCACTCCAACCGCTCCCGCAGCACCCCAAAAGCCTCCAGAATCCTAGCCGCTGGCCCCAAAATATAGGTATCGTCTGCATAGCTGAGGAAAAGCAGGTCCTTGAACTCCCTAGTAATCGGCTCCATCACTTGCTGCTGCGTGAATGCGAAAAGAAAAGGGCCGAGCGGGTCCCCCTGCCTCGATCCCCGTGCTGACTCGAGGCTCTGTACGAAAGGGCCTGCTCGGAGGTACAGGTCACTAGGTGTCCCATAAAAGACACGCAAGAATGGGATCATCCCTGAGAAAGGCGACTCCCGCAGACCATCGAACATCACATGACGGTGAAACGAATTGAAGGCGATTGCGATGTCTATGTGTAGCGCACACCAGTCGGGGTGAGTGGCCAGCGCTGACCGGAAAGAATGAGTGAGAATCTCCGCCCCGACCCTGGTGCCCGCTCCCAGGTGGTTGCATGGCAGGAAGTAGGAAACCATCGCAGGGCGGAGCGAGATGCAGACAGCACGAGCAAGGATACGAGGAAGCACCTCCCCGATCGCCACCGGCCAGACGTCGCCGTTAGGCTTGGAAAGCCCGACTAGGTTGGATGCGGCGAGCCACGGCCGAGCCCGCTTGGGGACCTGTCCCGCCACCCATTGGTTGAACACTTCCAACAGGTGGGAAAGGCAGGTAGGTTCAGTGAAGAAGGTGTCGCGCAGATGCTCTGTGACCCACCCCTATGGCCCTGCTGCTGAGGCTCGAGCGGCTGTATGGATAGCTCTGGCCAGGATGTCGGTCGTGAGTGAAGGCCGCTGAGCGGTATCGATGGTGAAATCGCGGAACCACTGTGGTACCTCACCTGCGCTAGCAGGGTGCTTCTCTCGCAGCGACTGCACCATGACCTCAGACGGTCGAGCCAACTCCCCTGCTGTAAGGCAGGCCAATCCTCGGCTCCACTCCCCCACTTTGCATCGAGATCGGCACCGTGACAGGCGGATGGCATCCGGATCCTGGTCAGAGCGAGTGTAGGAAAGTGGGCGAACTGCTGGCCGCGCTGCCGCCATGGCAGAGTCGAACAGCTCCCGCCACCTCCCCTCCCAGAACGCACCCAACCGCTCTGTGATCAGCGCCTTCTGACCTATGCGTGGCATTGGAGGCATGGCAAGGATGAGGCGCGGAAACGCCAAGAGTAGGAGGTTAGCGGCTTCATCTCCCGGCTGGCTCTTCAAGCGCTTAAGGATGCAACAGAGCGCGTCTAAGACCCCCGACCTGGCCCGCTGTGGGATACGGCAAACTGTCCTCCCTCCAACCGCCTCCACACTGAAAAATGTTTCCCATTCCCATGACGTAACCCCAGCCCACGCCTCGTCCCCAAATTCCCGCGGCGTCGATCGCTCCTGCGTGTCCGTCTCCACCAGAGACGGAATCGAGCCGAGAGCCTGTGCACGCCTCTCCGCCTCAGCCGCTCGGCATACCCTCATGTGGTTCGCTGCGGCCCCCCGCGTAGCGAAAGTGTGGAAACACGTGTCGCACGGGAAGCGGGGGCATGGGGAAGGCGGCAAGGGAGGTTCTTCGTCCGCCTCTGACTCCTCCACAGTCGCCATGGGGGTATCAAGCTCCAGAAGTCGACACCACTCCTCCAACTGTTGCTCCTGGTCGTCCATCGATCGCCCCCCTGCTTGCTGCGCTCCTTGGGGTGCCCAGGGCACCCTCGGCTGCCCCCCTGGCTGCTGCACTCCCTGGGGTGCCCCGGTCACCCCCGACTGCCCCCCTGCCTGATGCTCTCCCTGGGGTGCTCTGGGCACCCTCGGCTGCCCTCCTGCCTGCTGCACTCCCTGCCCTCCTGCCTGCTGCATTCCCTGGGGTTCCCCAGGCACCTTCGGCTGCCCTCCTGCCAGCTGCACTCCCTGGGGTGCTCTGGTCACCCCCGGCTGCTCCCCTGCCTGCTGCTCGCCCTGGGGTGCTCGGGTCACCCCCGGCTGCCCCCCTAGCTGCTGCTCCCCCCGGGGTGCTCCAGTCACCCCCGACTGCCCCCCAGCCTGCTGCTCTCCCTGGGGTGCTCCGAGCACCCCCGGCTGCCCCCCTGCCTGCTGCACCCCCTGGGGTGCCCCGGGCACCCCCGGTTGCCCCCCTGCCTGCTGCACTCCCTGGGGTGCCCCGGGCACCCTCGGCTGCCCTCCTGCCTGCTGCACTCCCTGGGGTGCCCCGGGCACCCTCGGCTGCCCTCCTGCCTGCTGCACTCCCTGGGGTGCCCCGGGCACCCCCAGCTGCCCCCCTGCCTGCTGCACTCCCAGGGGTGCCCCGGGCACCCCCGGCTGCCCCCCTGCCTGCTGCACTCCCTGGGGTGCCCCAGGCACCCCCGGTTGCCCCCCTGCCTGCTGCACTCCCTGGGGTGCCCCGGGCACCCCCGGCTGCCCTCCTGCCTGCTGCACCCCCTGGGGTGCCCCGGGCACCCCCGGCTGCCCTCCTGCCTGCTGCACTCCCTAGGGTGCCCTGGGCACCCTCGGCTGCCCTCCTGCCTGCTGCACTCCCTGGGGTGCCCCGGGCATGCCCAGCTGCCCCCCTGCCTGCTGCACTCCCTGGGGTGCCCCGGGCACGGCCAGCTGCCCCCCTGCCTGCTGCAATCCCTGGGGTGCCCCGGGCACCCCCTGCTGCCCTCCTGCCTGCTGCACTCCCTGGGGTGCCCCGGGCACCCTCGGCTGCCCTCCTGCCTGCTGCACTCCCTGGGGTGCCCCGGGCACCCCCAGCTGCCCCACTGCCTGCTGCACTCCCCGGGGTGCCCCGGGCACCCCCGGCTGCCCCCCTGCCTGCTGCACTCCCTGGGGTGCCCCAGGCACCCCCGGTTGCCCCCCTGCCTGCTGCACTCCCTGGGGTGCCCCGGGCACCCCCGGCTGCCCTCCTGCCTGCTGCACTCCCTGGGGTGCCCCGGGCACCCTCGGCTGCCCTCCTGCCTGCTGCACTCCCTGGGGTGCCCCGGGCACCCCCAGCTGCCCCCCTGCCTGCTGCACTCCCTGGGGTGCCCCGGGCACGCCCAGCTGCCCCCCTGCCTGCTGCACTCCCTGGGGTGCCCCGGGCACCCCCTGCTGCCCTCCTGCCCGCTGCACTCCCTGGGGTGCCCCGGGCACCCTCGGCTGCCCTCCTGCCTGCTGCGCTCCCTGGGGTGCCCCGGGCACCCTCAGCTGCCCTCCTGCCTGTTGCACTCCCTGGGGTGCCCCGGGCACCCTCAGCTGCCCTCCTGCCTGTTGCACTCCCTGGGGAACCCCGGGCACCCCTGGCTGCCCCCCTGCCTGCTGCACTCCCTGGGGTGCCCCGGGCACCCTCGGCTGCCCTCCTGCCTGCTGCACTCCCAGGGGTGCCCCGGGCACCCCCTGCTGCCCTCCTGCCTGCTGCACTCCCTGGGGTGCCCCGGGCACCCTCGGCTGCCCTCCTGCCTGCTGCACTCCCTGGGGTGCCCCGGGCACCCTCAGCTGCCCTCCTGCCTGCTGCACTCCCTGGGGAGCCCCGGGCACCCCCGGCTGCCCCCCTGCCTGCTGCGCTCCCTGGGGTGCCCCTGGCACCCTCAGCTGCCCTCCTGCCTGCTGCACTTCCTGGGGAGCCCCGGGCACCCCCGGCTGCCCCCCTGCCTGCTGCACTCCCTGGGGTGCCCCGGGCACCCCCGGCTGCCCCCCTGCCTGCTGCACTCCCTGGGGTGCCCCGGGCACCCCCGGCTGCCCCCCTGGCTGCTGCTCTCCTTGGGGTGCCCCGGGCACCCAGGGTTGCTCCCCCACGCGCGGAGCTCCCGGGGGTGTCTCGGTCGGCCCCGGCTGCCCCTCCGCCTGCTGGGCGGCAGCTCCGCTTCCAGTTCGACCTTGCGTCTTACGGGCGTGTCGTCTCCCGCCTCGGCCCCGTGCCCAAGTTCTCTTCGCTTGGCTTGTAGGGTCCGCACTAGCGACCTCCAGCTGCCCCCGCGCCGGCAGCTCCCGCCGCTCCCCCTCCGGCAGCTCCTGCTGCCCTCCCCCCGACAGCCCCAGCTGCCCTCCTGTTGGCAGCTCCTGCCGCTCCTCCCCCGGCAGCTCCTGCTGCCCTCCTGCCTGCAGCCGGACCTGGTTCCATGATTGGTCTTGCTGCACCTCTGGCAGTAGCTCGGCCATCTCCACATCCACCGCTTGCTGCTCCCTTGCCGGCAGCTGCCCCACCCCCGGCGGCTTCTGCTGCTCTTCCCTTGGCAGCTCAAGCTGCTCTCCCCCGGGCGGCACCTGCTGCCCTCCTGCCTGTGGCCAGGCCTGGTTTCCCGTTTGGTCCTGCTGTGACTCTGGCTGTAGCTCGGCCATCTCCACTTCTACCGCTTGCTGCTCCCTTGCTTGCTGCTCCCTTGCTGGCAGCTCCTGCTGCTCTTCCCTTGGCAGCTCACGCTGCTCTCCCCCGGGCAGCTCCTGCTGCCCTCCTGCGTGTGGCCAGGCCCGGTTCCCCGAGTGGTCCTGCTGCACCTCTGGCTGTAGCTCGGCCATCTCCACTTCTACTCTTTGCTGCCCCCCAGCCGGCAGCTCCTGCTGCCCTCTCGCCGGCACCTCCTGGTGCCCTCTCGCCGGCACCTCCTGCTGCCCTCTCGCCGGCACCTCCTGCTGCCCTCTCGCCGGCACCTCCTGCTGCCCTCTCGCCGCACCTCCTGCTGCCCTCTCGCCGGCACCTCCTGCTACCCTCTCGCCGGCACCTCCTGCTGCCCTCCCGCTGGCACCTCCTGCTGCCCTCCCGCTGGCACCTCCTGCTGCCCTCCCGCTGGCACCTCCCGCTGCCCTCCTGCCTGCAGCTCCTGCTGCCCCCCCGCCGGCAGCTCCAGCTGCCCTCCCGCCGGCCGCTCCTGCTGCTCTCCCTTCGGCAGTACCTGCTGCTCGTCTGCCGACCGCGCCTGCCGCCCTCTTGCCTGCGGCTCTTGCTGCCCTCTCGCCGGCAGCTCCTGCTCCCCTCTCGCCAGCAGCTGCTTCTCCCCTCTCACCGGCAGCTCCTGCTGCCCTCCCGCCGGCCGCACCTGCTGCTCCCTTGCTTGTGGCTTCCGGGCCTCCCCCAACAGCCAGTCCTGCTGCCCCCCCTCCTGCCTCGAGGGCTGGGTCCCCGCTGGACTCCATTGCTGCACTTCCGCCCGGGCTCTCCGTCTCTGTTCCTGCCTTTGGGCCAGGCGGGGCCCGCGCGGAGCTGTGAGGGCTGGGTGTGCCAAAGGATTTCCTAGGGCCCTCCGCCGCCTATCATGAGACTCCTGCAGTCGCCGGCGGTGTGCCTCCCATGCAGCCATCGCCGCGTCATCACCGGTACCTTGCATGTGCACCCCATGACCGCACTCGCCCTCGTCCGTCACTTCCAGGTCCCGGCTGGAGATGGTGTCGCTGCCGCCTACGAAGCCGCCGAGAGTGTCTTTGGGTGGTTCCTCTATCCCCCCCCCTATCGAGAGGGGTCCATACCTTTGTCGCTTGCTGGGCTTACCAAAAAGGCAGAGTGCATCCTCATGGTGGAGGCGACAGAGTTGTGGGTATTGCATACTCGGTGCTGCCTCCCTGGGTCTCTTGTGGCCAATCCTCGCGATGATCTTCCTCCCCCGGTCTGGGGGGTTTGGATCGTTGTTCATGGCGTAAGCTGTTTGCGGGGAGCGCTGGAGGGGCGCCTCCTGCCTTCGGTATAAGGTTCGCAGTCCGGGTGAGTCGAAGGTGTTGGGCGTCGCTGGCGCACGGAGACTCCCCTATACGCTGGACGCTCCTACCTGCAGGTGTTGGTACCTAGGCGCGGGTCTCGCTTTGTGGCCCTCCCTACACGCGGTAGTCGCTGCCTAGGCGTGAGCTTCGCTGCGATGGCGCTCCTACGCACGAGTATAGCTGCCAGGGTGCTGCTCCCTCCGCCGCGGCGCGGATTTCGTTGCTACGACGCGGGTTTCACTGTTACATGGCGGACTTCATTGCTCTTTGCCCGGACTTCAGCGCTACGGCGTGCACTTCGCTGCTACGGCGCGCACTTTGCTACTACGGCGCGCACTTCGCTGCTACGGCGCGCACTTCGCTGCTACGGCGCGGAATTCGCTGCTACGGCGCGGGTTTCGCTGCCGAGGCACCGGATTGCGCTGCTACGGCGCGCAATTCGCTGCTACGGCGCGGAGTTCGCTGCTACGGCGCGCACTTCGCTGCTACAGCGCGCACTTCGACGCTACGGCGTGGGCTTCACTGCTACGGCGCGGATTTCGCTGCTACGGCGCGGATTTCGCTACTACGGCTCGGATGTCGCTGCTACAGCGCGGGTTTCGCTGCCTAGGCGTGGATGTCGCTGCTACGACGGAGATTTTGCTGCCACGGCGCGAATTTTGCTGCTACGGCGTGGATTTTGCTGCTACGGTGCGATTTTCGCTGCTGCGGTGCGGATTTCGCTGTTACGGCGCTGGTTCCACTGCCTAGCTACGCACTGCTACCTGCAGTTCGCGGGCTAAGCGGCTAGATCACCGGTTGGTCAGCAAGATCGCTGCTATGCGGCTAGGTTGCGGGCGGGGCAGCTAAATCGCTGGCTAAGCGGCTAAGATGCGGGCTAGGCGGCTAGATCGAGGCGTAGGCGGCTAGATCGCGGGCTGGGCGGCTAGATCGCGGGCTGGGCAGCTAAATCGCAGGCTGGGCGGCTAGATTGCGGCCTGGGCGGCTGAATCGCGGGCTAATAGGCTGAGTCGCGGGCTACGTGGCGGGATCGCGCTGCTACTAGCGAGGAAAGAGCTGCTGCCTAGCGGGAGTCGCGCTGCTGCCTAGCGGGAGTGGCGCTGCTGCGCCTAGTTAGTGACTCTCGTGACTATTTTGGTCTTGCTATATAGTGCGCAGACATGCGCTATCCTACACATGGACAGAGCAATCATTCTCCCTGTCCTGTTGCGATCGTAGGCCCTGCCACGCTCGCAACAGTGCCACAGCACATGCGCGAGCCCTGAGGGACACGCGCAAAGTCTGGACCCCACACATGGGTCCTGATTCTTGCACCACTTTACCTTGACTGACGCGAAAATATCCCAGCAGCAAAAACACTTGCAACTCAAATAAACACTCATGAAGAATCATGATAGAAAACACAAACAGTCATGAACGAACATGATCGTGCATGGTCGTACATGATCGCTCATGAATACACATGAACGTACACGAACAACACACGAATACTGATGAACACCCCGCGAAGGACCATGAACACTCAAAACACTCGGAACTTCACGAAACACAACGAACACTCATGGAGACTCGAAACTCCTTGCATGCACTCACAAAACACACGCGAACAGTCATGAACATTCGTCAATGCAACATTACAGAAATGCACATAACTTATTAACTGCTAAGGCGAATCACAAACCGTAAACACCAAAATGAAAATCACATAAAACACATTCCGCACGACACAAACTACCTTTAAACAAATGTCTCCAAATTTCACCTCGCTCGACGAATAGGCGACAGGTTAACGTGCAAAACATGTTTTGCACCCAACATTTATGTATCAAATTGAAGCTCTCAATAAGGCGAACACAACCGTGTACCATGTGCATGGGATCATGCATGAATTCCCGCCAAAAACTGCCACGATAAGAAGTTGTTATTGTTACAAAGTCAAAAAAAAAAAAAAAAAAAAAAAACTACTAGAGGTATGCGCTTATAATAAGTACGGGTACACAAGGGGGTGCGCTTATAATCGAGGAACATCTATAAGTGCCATGCTCCAGATAGAAGCGCTGGCACCTTTAATCAGACGGCGCCTATATCCGAGGCCATACGGTATATATATACTCTTGAAGTAACCTTTTGGTCGTTTCTCATAGTTGGGCTAGTTATACCTCCCTGAGTTGCTTCACTTGTTTTGTTGCTTTTCTTGACGTGTCTTATAACCAGGGCTCTCGTTATCACACTATTTTAGTATGTTGGTCTAGGTTTCATGCATAGATTGTGTAGTTAATATGCTTCGATAGACTTAAGCTTATGGCTCATACCGTCACCCCCCGGATATAAGCGCTACCTTGGGATAAGCGCCAGGCGCTTGTAATTGGCATATGGCGCTTATATCCGCTCTTCGTTTATAAGTGCAGGCTTACAGATTATAGCCGCATACCTATGCTTACACAATATAACTGCCACCCTTTTTTAATGGATTTTTTTAATATTTCAAGTCATTTGATTACAAAATCTATTTCATACTCTATCTATGGTTACTTGCAAATAATGCTACCATTCCTGTACCTACGAGGATCAAACACAGGCTACATGATTTTCCCTACATCTACTCTAGTCATTAGCTTCGGTGGGGTCATCAGGGTCGGCCTCAGAGTCAGACTCAGGCCCCTCGACGTTGTTGCAGAAGAACCCAACTGCTGCAATCTCAGCATCCATTTCGATTTCGTCTCCCTTGAGCTCGTCTCGCCTGTGTTGCAGGCAGAGCTTGTCCTGGGACCCATCCAGGGTGTTGCTGATCCTGCAGGTGAGAAATGCCCGTTGAATCAGGTCCTTGGGCACGGCCTTCCAAACCGCCGAGAGACACTTGAGCGTCAGCTCGGACGGATGCATCTTGATGTTGCCTGCCACGAAATTCAAGAACAAAACGATGAACATACACACGCATGGGCGGACTGTCTCACCTTTCTTCGTCGAGGTGTCGACCCTCTCGCTCTCGAACCACTCCTGGTAGAGCTGGCGAACGGCAGCCTTGAAGGAGCGATTCACCGCGACATCGAGGGGTTGAATTTCCGAGGTGAAGCATGTTGGGATAACGGCAGGGACAAGATTCAACTCGCCAAACTTCTGATTCACTTCCGCAATCAGGTGCCCGCGGTACGAGTCCAGGACGAGCATCGTTTTGCGGGGGCGGACACCGAACTTGGGTTTGACGTACGGCTTGACCGTCCTGTCAACCCACGCGATTACACCCTCCGCTTCCATCCAACCGTTGGGATGCGGGGACACGACGACATGTGCACATCAACAAACGGACAAACAATATCAGTATAAACTAAAAACACAATAAACATGCAGTGGGTTGTAAAGCTTACCTAAAGGGAAATTTCCTTAGGGGACGGTCTTCCTTTTGAAGAAGACCCACGGCTTCAACTTCTCACCGCTGGCGGTGCAGGCGAGCACCACCGTAACTCGCTCTTTCTTATAGCCGTCACTGCGGATGGGCACAGAGCGCGAGCCCACCTCTTCGATGGTGCGTTCAGCTGGCATCTCGAGCCAGAGTGGCATCTGGTCTGCGTTAATAATCCACTGCGGGTCGATCTTGTATTGGCGGCTGGTGTGACGCACAAACTTTCAGAAGTTCCTGACATCAGTCTCGCAATCTGGGAGTATGGATGGGAGGAAACGAGAGAAAGAACAAACACAAGAACAAACACAAGATTAGTGATGCGATGGAAGATTACTGTCAGATGAGAACAGACAAACAAAAGAAAAAGAAAACCGTAAGCGACGGGTTTAAAAAACAACTCACTAGCCGCAAGCTTCCGGTTGACCATGATGTTCGCTTGGGTTGTCAGGTTCCAGCGGCGGCGAAAGCGCTCAGACTACCATTGGGGGCCAGCCGAATTTTCACCTAGATGTAGCTCTTTCATCACCTCGTGCGACCACTTCTGAAGGCTTGCGAACAAGACGGCAATACACTTTTTGTGGTGGACAAGAAACTTCCTGTAGACCTCCGCTTCCATGTCGCGATACCACGAGCTCCTTCCGCGCCCATGAAGGCGCTTGCGAGCAGCATGCGCGCCCTCCAGCTCAGCCTTCCGAATCTTCCACTCTGCGAGTGACGTTCGAGAGATGCCGGATTCGCGAGACATTTGCCGCACACTCATCTCCCCGAATTCAAGCTTCAGAATCCGCTGCAGCTTCTCCTGCGAGGTGTAAGAATTGCACTTGTGAGTTGTAGGCATGTGCTTAGAAGAGGGAGGATGGGCATCGCGATTCTCGCGAGAAGGGTGGGGCCGTTTTTTATTAGGAGGGGGAAAGGTGGGAATAGGCAGGTGCTCGGGAAGACCGTTAGCAGCACCAGAACTCCACATCATCCTCGGCACCGGTGGCGGATTCGTCCAACGGGCAATCAGCCGGGGTTCCCCAGCGTGGCAACGGTGCGGAGG